CAGTAAATCACCCTCTGCATGTTGGTCGTGTGGCGATTGGCATTTTGTACGCTTTTGTCCCTTCAAAAAGCACGTCTGTCAGAAATGCAACAAATGGGGTCACAAGGAAGAATGCTGCTGGTCAACCAGACACACTCAAAGCAGTCAGAAAAAAGCGGTTCACAGAAGGTCCAAAAAACGATTCTCAGAAGCACGCTCAGTTGTTGCAGCTTTTCAAACAGATTACCAGCCAAAAAGAAAATTCCTCACTGTGCTCATCAATGGTAAACCAATCAATGAAGGTCGAGTGAGGAATCAAGCCGTCGTCATGGGCTTGAGTTAGAATGTTCATGATAGATAGCATAATAAAGATTAAGGATCTGCCAGGATAGAAGCCGTTTTAGATTTGAGAAAGAAGCTGATTGTCTGTTAAGTGTTTAAGAATTGTCCTTCTTAGACCCGTTCAACAATCTTGCTGAGCACGCTAGTCAGGCTGATGGGTCTATAAGTACTTGGAGTGTGTCGATCTCCTTTTTAAATTGGAGGGATATGATGCCTCTTTTCCAAGATGAAGGGAATATTCCAACATCTAGACACTTCTGGAAGAGAGTGGAATGGTACGGGGCAAGAACCGAGGCGGCTTCTTTTAACACTCGAGGGTGTATGCCGTCTGGTCCCATCGAACTAAATGGATTCAAGGATTTGAGGAGTGATTCGGTCTCCTCTGGAAGAATGAGGAAATGTTCTAATAGAGATGGTGCATTAAGAGAGGGAAGATTGGGATTGGAAGAGACAGGAGGGAAACTAAAGGCGGATTCATAATGAGACCGGAAGATCTCTGCTACCTGAGCAGAGGATGTTACAGGAGAGCCATCAGGCAGCTTGAAGGCTAATGTCTGGGAGGTTGGTTGCCTTTTACAGCGGCGTGACTTAAATAAGGAATTAGGATTAATTCTAGCACGAAGAAGAATTGCTTTCTGTTGTCTATTGTGGAATTCCCTAACTCTCTGCTTACATAAGTTGCGGATTCGCTTGAACTCGACAGCATCAGCGTCGAGTCCAGTACATTTTAGTCTAGGAAATGAACGGGCCCGCTCGTCTATTAGGTGCCGAATGGAGCAGGGTAGGGGAGGTCTATGGTCAGATACAGATTGAACTCTAGGAAAAAACATGTGGTCCACCTCGTGAGTTAGACTCTCGAGCAACTCATTAAGGAATGTTCATCTCAGTTCAGCTTGCACAGGGCAGAAAATAGCCATGGTCAATCAAGCTTCCAGAATTCCTTCGGTGATATGTCAGGAAGGATTAACTTATTGACGTGACTCTTGGGCTCGAGGCTGGTGTCCGGCAGCCCCGGATCCTTGATGGTGTCTTGCTTTCTGTTCGTAGAGGATGCGACCGAAAGTTCAGAACAATTGAGAGGACCTCGACAGCGCGTGCTTCAAGATTTTGTAGTGGGTTAGTTTTTAGGATTTTTACCTTCGATTTTATAGACTTTTTAGGAGTAGTTTTTAGTTCTAGTGTCACATTTTATTTATTATTCCTGGTATCAGCTTACCGAGCTCTTGCTCATGTTAACTGTCTACCGTCTTCTGTATTAGTTGCACCGGGAAAACCGCTTCGGTATCATAGTTTCCCGGAATTACCGTATTATCCGTGTCCGTGGAGAAAAAGGGCTAAAGAAAGAAAAGATCCGCTTGAATTCGGGTGGTTTTCAGTGGGTAAAGGTTCAGTGTGGTGAAACGGGTGGGGTATGGGACATAGAACAGACCTGAGACTAGCTTTGTGGCTGCTCGCTAAACTCGTTCGAGGAAGTTACGATCACCCACAAGCACAGAGCACGCGATTTTGGCTCCGTATTCTGAGAGCGGTCTGACATAAGTACCGTATAAGAGTTGAAAATCTTCTTTATCAAAGCGAGGGAAGGAGCGCTTGATAAAGTTGCGTACCCCAAATGCTTTTTTCGGGCTTTTTGGTGGTGGCAAGAAAAAGATAGAGAGTTAGCTAACCAAAAGTCAAGGATCTTCTGCTGGTTGATAGTC